CAGTACATAGTAGATTTATTACTTTAGATCTATCTTCCTGAGTGATTTATTATTGAAACATATGATTAAGACACTAAAAAGTTCGTTGTCAGAAAAAAACAAATGTAAAGAACTCTGACATGGGACCTACTCAGAATACATTATCGAATTTTATTTTAAACTTTTTATTATCATAATTGAACCAAAAGTTGGAAATAATTATATACTGATCCAAGTGTAAATATGAAACTATTGAAATACCGAAATTTATGGTGTAGCCACTTATAGAACCTATCATACAAATTTCACCGTATGCACTAATATCTTATCATCCATCTCAATAATCTAATAATTTTAATTTGTTGGAAAACTAAAACATAATTTGTAAGCTACTCTAAGAGATTCACGGATGACATTTCCACTCGATATTATTTTAAATTCAACTATATAATATTATTGTGAATAAGTAATAAATCTATATATCACCCAGTCGTTCAAAACAAGAATCTATATATGTACATGGCTACAATTATAAAATTACACCCAATTCACAAGTATTGACTATCATGATATACAATTTTATTTATTACACCTTTTTAAAACCATGTTAATCTAGATAATGGATTAAGACTAACGAGATAGAAATTTCTTAAGATAAATATTCATCATGTTTAGCACAAAAAAAAAAAAAGATAAATATTCATCGGTGTAATTCCTCTGATGTTTTTACTTTTATTGTGGTCACTTTCTCAAATCCAGCTTCACAAATCACACATGTGTATAGTATAATTTATATATACAATAAAGGGAATTATTAGGAAGAAAGCTGAAAAGTATGGTCCTGCTTTAATCGAGACATAAATATATAATTAATAAACAAATCCGCTATTTAAGGATTCGTGTCCCCATCCAATTAATATCTCCCACATTTCTAATCTTCTCTCCAATTCGTTTTAAATTAACATATATCCTTAATAATCATCCTTCACCACCGTCCATTTTTTGGCGCGAGAAGAAAAAAAAAAAAACCACAAACAGAAGAAACATGTTTGAAAATATGCTAAACCACGTGTTAGTCAACGATAATTCCACGTGGCAATATGAGAATGACGTGGCAAGCACATGTATTGTAAAAACGGAACGGGACAAAAGCCTACGAGCGCCGTTCAGATCGGGGACTATGACATAAAAATGGCTTAGCTGTTTTTAATACTTTAATAATTTTGATTATTATTTTAGTAATTTGTTAGTGTAGTTGATAATTTTATATATATTAAATTTACTATATTGAAATAGGATGGGTTTTCGACAACTAATTTTATGCCAATACAGTTGTTGTCCGCACCATTGAATTGTGACGATTGGGTTTTATTCTATCTATTTATGGGATTCAAATTATTGATCATACTTTCCAACTGAAATTGAACTGACGAATATAGTTTAAGATTTGCCTTAATTAATTTAAATATTATATTCCTTTCTTGTTTTTTCCAGTAACATTGTTGTACTTGTACATGTGCTTTGGTATTCATGATGAAACATGAATGTTTGGACCCAATTCGAATATTTGTGTACTTTTATTGTCAAACATTGACATTCTATATACTACGTATAGAACCACATGATTATAGCTTTAATTTGCTGGAAAGAGTACAAAAACCAAATAAATCATTCATTCGTTACTCAAAAAGAAGTAATTTTGTTTGTTACTCTAACCGGATAATCAAACTCTATATATCTATAATTATCTTAGTTTTATGATTCGATGTAAAATCAAATTCTTACTACATTTTACAAAATTTTGAATTCATAAAGTACACGGAGTTTGTTTTGTTTTTAAAATGTGTTTATCTAGTTGATTAGTTGGTAAACGAATCTTGGAAACCTATTTGTTATTACATATGAAAATAATTGATGATGTTATATATCGTCTTAAGTGTTAGACTATATACGATTATGATGAACAGTTTCCGATAATTTCACTGATGTATAATTTCTTCAACAGATCCACAACAAACGGTCCAACTCCACCAATTACTACATTCACAACTCTATGTATATATGTATAACACTAGACCACGACCAAAGATAATGATTTAGAAACATTAAACCAAAATCGATTGCATGATTAGGCTCTTTCTTGCTGTGTACTCATCATAATAGACCAAATTAAAAAGGAAGTGATTAGTCCTTGATTTCGTTGGAGCGTGACGTAAACGCGCCGCCTTGTACATCCCGTCACGTTTTCTCGCTTTCCTCTCACTACACTTAACTCATTAAAACCTTAGTAAAAAAAACTAAAAAACCAGAGAAACTGGAAAACAAAAACAAAAAAGAAGAAACAGAGAGAAGAGCTGTAGAAAATTGTGAGACAGATCGAAACGTGTCCATTTCTCTGTCATTCGATTCTTGGATTCAGTCTCACAGAGAAAAAACACAAACGTGCAAC